GAAGAACTACTCTTCTGTAAAGGTAAGAGGTAGATCGGTCCCCCACCATGGGACCCATTTAGAGAGTTCACAATTCAAGAGAAGTGTCCAACATTTCTGGAGTAAACCGAGAAAGGGATGAATCAATTACAGTAGCAACTAGCCAGAAAGCAACGGAGAGGAGTCTAAATATGATGCACTGTACATAAGAGATAAAGAAACAGGTTCAACAACTTCTGAACCGCAATAGAACTAGAGTTCAAAGAGGCAAAATGAGTCAAAAGTCTGATAAGTCTCCCTGTCCCCCACCTATGGGATTGTGCCACCAACTGGTTTCATAACTCTTCAATTCACTCTGAGCTGTTCAGGGCCTGATCTCACTTACACTGGTGCAATTTCAAGGATTGAAGCAGAATTATTCCCTGGTGTCGAGAGACTGGAATCAGATCCTTGAGACTAGACCTTGATGCTTTGAAGAAGAGGGAACTGTGTGGCCCCACTCCTCCACTTTATGGAGTCTTTTATCAGCAAGATAGACCTGAATCAGCCTATGTAATGAAATCAGTAAAATCACAGTAGTCACAAAAGTAATATCCCTATTACTCTGGGATGCCTTTACACCATCCTAGACGAGCCAGCAATAGCACAAGGAACTACATAGAGGAAACTAAATACCTGCAGTATCTGTTTCAGCGTTTTTCAGATTTAACCCTAGCCAGCCCTCCTAGAATCAGTCACATTGTCCTGTGCAGGGCATGTCTGGGCAACAGATAGAGTCCCCTATTCTTTTAGGCTAAAGAAATAATTATTTGGAAAAAAATAACTTACTATATTCCACATTGATGTCAGTGAAGAAGAGATTACTGCATGCTGACTAGGAAAAATAATTAAAATGCCTCTCCCTTCCTCTCAAAAGGGAGATACTACAGCAAGTGGCTGTGCTGTTGGCTAGAAAACACTTCTGTCTTTTCCAAGGCCTGACTCTGATTTCACTTATACAATTGTGTGGCCACATTGATTTAAATGGCATTACTCTGGATTTCTATTGGCAAAAATGAGATTAGAATCTGTGGGGGGAGGGAAGTTAGCCTCCAGAAGGTGCCTTTTTGTAAGAAATCACTTATCACCTATAAATAAAGAGAAATTAGCACCTTTAATGATTGTAAAAATGGAGGGAAAATTATTAGCCGGGACAAGAGAAGCCAAAAAGGGGAGGAAACTAAATGGCACATGTACTTATGCATCTTCTCTCCGGCCACATTGACTCCTCTAGGCCAGAGCACCAGCCCAAGAAAGAGTTGTTAAGAAAACA